AACTCCTCTTTCGAACAGCGCAGTAATCGCTCCCCACAGAAGCAGGCTTACGCTGGTCTGCCAGCGCTCGAAGCGACTGTCCGTGAGGTTGCAAGTATTGAGGAGTTGTTTGGTGCGCCGGCTAATCCTATTCCGGTTATGAGAAGTGGGAAGCTTTGTTTTCGTGATGGGACGCTAGACAGGAGTGGGAAGCTGCCAAGGGCATTGGTGTACTATCCTACCGGGTATGATTGAGGAGGCGGACTGGACTGGAAATCGATGCTGCTTTGCAAGCGGCGGGGTCGTACGATTAGGAGAAGTGAGGAAACGCTGTATGAGTGTAAAAATTGTTGAGGGCTCCCGGCTTAGTATCCAACAGTAGAATTATCAGCATCACAGACAAGCAGTCAATTTAAATACCTTCGCGTCACCAACCCCGACCCATCATTCAGCATCTCAACCTCCTTCCTCAATTCTTCATTCTCCTTCTCCAGTACCTCGAGCCGCTCTTGAAGCGGCTCCATCTGCTCCTCGGCTCCAGCGCTGAGTTCCTCGATGATTTTGAACACACGCCATAGACGCAAAGTTACGACTAGTGAGCCTACTTCCTCGAGGACGCCTTTCAGGACGACATCGAGGATGAAGCCTGCTATGATCACAGTGGCGTCAAGACAGTGAAACCATGTTGTGAAGAATCTTGGAGTAGTCAGTAACATTCTGTATGATGAGTCATTGCGTCGAGAGTTTGAGTGATCGATAAGTACGGAAAGGTGACAATACATACTCCCAGCCGAATGCCCAAACACTAGCAAGCAATTCTAGCATGAACAGACAGGAAAACACCAGGCCTAGGTCACCCAAGACTTCTTGCACGGTCGAGCCATCTTTGAGCGGGATACGGCCTTCACATGTCAAGAGCAGAGCGATCAAGTCTGCGAAGATGCTGGTGACGTCTATCGATACCAGGACGAGCACGGCATAGTGGCCGTACTTTGAGGTAAGGAAGCGTTTTGTCTGGTGGCGGGCTGTTGTGAGGGTACGCTGAGGATGTGAAGCTGTATGTGCGTGGTCGGAGGGTAGAAGTGGTGTTTGTGCGTTCGTCATGGCCCTTGTGAGATGATTGATGTCTTTGAGTGAATGGTATTGGAGCATATACAGCTTGGCAAATGCTTGTTATCTTTTAGCGCTCGATAGCATAGCGGCCGTTCCCGTCGATTTCGGGGAGTGAAGTGAAGCTTGCGGCGAGATTTGGCAGACTCCCGAGATATATGTTTAGCACGTGCCTCTGACTTTCATCTTGAAGGAGAAGTCACAGTATAATACAAGGCAGGCTCAATCTAACAGAGCCATGCAGAAAGTCGTACAACGCACAGTCCGCGCCGAGCGCGTCGTCAATCGTAAACGAGCGAAGCGAATCGACCACGCCGACAAAGGCGAAAGCTGGGGACGCTTCCAGCAACGGAATCGTCTCGTCCGAGCCAATGGCGCGAATATCAAGAATGCACGCCTTAACAGAGCAGAAGACTGGGCGTTAGGCTCCCTAGCTCCACGGCGAGATGTGGGCGAGAAAGCGAAGAATTATGGTGCGATGACCATCTACGATATTAATGCTACGGATCTGAATAAAAAGGATCAGCCGAAATGGATTCCCTACTCTGAAGGTGACAGGGTGGTCGTGATGACAGGGAGGTTCAAGGGCAAGATCGGCGAGGTGACGGAGACATCAGAAAAACAGGGGACGGTGAGGGTGAAGGGTGTCAATGTGACTGATGTCATCATACCGGAATGGATGAATAGGGAGGACAAGACGACGGGAGATCTCAATGCTGTGCCGCTGCCTTTACGGTTGGAGGATGTGCGGCTGGTATATCCGCTCCCGGATCCTGTCACTGGTGTGCCACGGGATGTGATAATCGACCGACTGATACACATGAATTACACCTTTGACAAGACCAAGAAGGAATGGACGAAAGGCGATCGTGTAATACCAGGCACGAATACCATGATACCTTGGCCGGAAACCGTGCCGGAAGAGACACCGGACCACGACGACGATACGCTAAGAATCACAGTCGAGGAACAGACTTTCCGGCCTTTCCTCCTCTCGCCGCCAATGCCACTATCTGTCATCGATGAGCTGAGGAACAGGTACTCGAAGTTTAGAACCAGACATGAGTACGAGTATGTCGAGGCGAAGGAAGAAGATGATGCTAAG